GTTGATTTGAAGAAGTACCAAAAGAGTGAAATAAAATACACATAGAAGAAAATTAACGAGATTCTCCATCTGGGAACATCCGATATTCTCATCTGAATAATAGAAAATACTCATTCATCTTTGAAGATGGTGAAGAACAGCAAGACTTTAGAAGTTGTTTTCTATTAGATTTATTAATGAAACCAATCACTATGATGTAGAAAAGAGATCACTAATGACTATCGAAACAATGACATTTGTTTAACAATCATGTAATAGAAAACGGATCATCAATGTTATGTAAAAGAGAAAGACAATCATATGATGAAAACATTGGCAAATATATTATTAACATTACACAGAGATATTTGGTGACTAACTATCGTTACTTAATTTATACCGTGGGAAAATCGATGTTGTTCCGCATTGATTTGGAATGACAGTGATTCTTATAAATTCCACTTGAGAAACCTTTCATCTTTTTTCAACTCTTAGCCTTCATCTATGGTCCTATGGAATTATCTAGTGATTATTGAATGATGATAACAATCATACAGATAGCTGAAAAGCAATGAAGAATTGTCAGTTAATGAGAGATACTCAGAAGATAAAGTACTAGAAGGTTCTAAGAATAAAAATTGATATTGATTCAAATTTACTAAATATATCTGTTTGTTATTTTGCTATTTTCCACATCAGATAATAGATTAGTTATTCATTTCAAGCGAATTGCGTTTATCTTTTTATTTTCATTTAAATCTATTGAAAAATAAACATTGAAATAAAAGAAAGAGAAATCAATTGATTTCGATGAGCAAGGTTTTTCGTTCAAATGTATTGAACTTGATAAATTCGATTATTTCCATCATTAATAAATAAGAGACTCCCATCTTGCATAACTATAAGATCAACTCAAGTAGCAAATATGTTTGATCCAGATGAGTTTGTTAAAAATCCATCAATAAAATCTTCATAGTAACCTTTGGATCGATGATCTTCACTAAAATGAAATAAAGACAATTTTATATTCTGTTTCGATGAATCAATTCCAAGATCCATGTAATGCAGCAAATGCTCCATTACGATATTTAGTAGGAAATTGTTGGTCAGTATATAGAAACGAGTATCTAGAACAGTTGAATGAGCTTGAAAAAGTACATGAGACGTTTTTGTAGATGAAACAAGATCAGGATGAGTTAATAATCCATTTGTCAATTGATATCGAGGATCGAATAAATCTGATGATAAGCAAGTGGCCAACTATAAAATTCATTTCTTTTTATTCAAGTAAAAAAATTTGAAACAAGATCGTCACCAATTCCATCACGTTCTTGACATGCAATATAAAATTCTTCACTTATTGGATGAATTGATAAACTTGTTGGATTTCGAGGTCCAAAAGTAAATGTCGATTGATTTGTTCCATCAAGATTAACGATTTGAAAAGATGCTTTTGATAATGGATCATCATCATCATCATGACCAGTTAATGAACTATGTCCAGTAAACATTTTCTGATCAGTTGGTGAAAGCAATGAACAAGTCCAACGATCACAAGAATCAAGATCATCAAGTGATTCACCTTCACCTTGAATCGATCGACTTCCATTTAGCCATTCATATCGTCAAACACTCACGATTAGCAACATAAAAACTATCCTTATAAAAAGCCATCTTATAAGAAAAATTTAATTTATTCAATTGATTAGCAAATGTGAAACGTTCATCTGGAAAACCATCTCCGTCATTATGAACTAAACAAGATATTCGGTGTCCTCGAGAGTCGCTGACAAGAATATAAATACTGTGTGCCTCGAGAATAAAAGACAGGGTTTTATTAAGGGGCTCCCCCCCCCCCCCTCAGGAATC